CGCCTCCACCCCATGGGGACTATAGGAGGAAGAAGCTGCTTAACAGAAAACAAGACTCCAGAGGTCAAAGTCTAAGGACACTGCTGTCAACACTTTCAAAAAGGCTAAAGGAAGGGGGATGAGCCAGAGAAGTGTACAGAAAGAGCACAGTGACAAGATCGAGAAGGGGCATGTCAGAGGAGGAGACCAAGTGGTCTCCACAAGACACTGCAAAGAGCACAGCAGATTCACAGCCAGGTAGTGGCCACCAGCAGAGAAGACTCCAGAGAGGAGGTAGAGGTGCAGTAATGGAAATTCTCCTGAAATATATACTTTATTAAAAGTGTGTTAGAGACATTGAAAACAGGGGGCAGCCGAGATCTCTTAATAGCATTATGCTTTGTAAATAAGTTGGAGGGGGAAAGGAAGAACTTGGTAATCTACCCAACAAAGGCCAATTTGCCCCTGAGTTTTCCGACCCAGATGAGTTTCAGGGTGTACCTTAAGCCTAGCTCAGCTCACACGCAGTGCTAAACGGGCAGATAAAGCATGGGCACTACTAATGCCCTTTTCCCCAAGACCATTTGTAGAAAGGCTTCTTGTCCTGTTGCACAGATGAATATATAATATGTAATACAATGTGGTGCTGACTAAGTTGTATACAGCACGTAACTGGAGCAATTTTAGTTGTTAATGGGTAAACCAGGGGTACTTTTCTGCCTCATCAGGGGAAAGAAATTATTATTTCTGTACAGAGAGAACAGTAAATTATAAAAGTGAATGAGGACTGAGAACCTAAGGCAGCTGAGAGATAAGAGAAAAAATATAGTACGAAAGGGATTTGGAGCTAGGAGGAAAACTGATTTTCTGTGTGTAAAAATGAAATTTAAAATGTGAATTGATATGGCTGTGGAAGAAGTTGGTATTTCTTTTTTGGTGGGAATCTACACGAATTCTTCATTATTTTTTTTTTAATGAGAAACTGAAAAACTGAGACTAAAATTTTTTAGAGATTTGTTCAAAATAATGTAGCTGGTTAGTAGTGACACTCTCAGTATTGGAATTCTTATGATTTTGGCAGTTAGATTATAAGACCTAACTGACATTATCCTGGATTCAGTGGCTAAATAACAGGGACATTCGTACAGAGGAGAATACGTTCGTTCAATGAGATTTAAGAATCTCCCTGTGCAAAGTATGCTGCAAACTGGGGACTAAAAGAAAAATGAGACAAAGTCCCTGTCGGAGCTCACAGGCTAACGGGGGAATCAGACGCGTGGAGGGTAAATTGCAGCATGCTTAGTAGGCCTGTAGATGCATGAACGAAGTACTGTAGAAGCTATGAAGAACCAGTGTCATTTAGAGGAAAGGCTTTACTCAGTAGGTCACACATAAATGGTGTCTTGAATCAGGCATCAGAGGAGCAAGGCCATTCAAGATTAAAGGGAACAGGAAGGAATATTTGGCTAGAGCACGGATTTGTGGGACAGAGTGCAGAGAGAAGGCTAGGGAAGCAGGTCAGCATCAGATTAGGAGGCTTGCTTTCCTACAGGTCATGCCAATAAGTTTGGACTTTCCCTGATAATCAAGGAAGTGTCTTGGAAATCTCTAAGAAATTTCTCAAAAATTGTTTCAGAATAGATTCTGTAGCTACATGTTGAGAGATTATTTAGTTCCTATGTGGTTTAGACCCTTACCTTGGGTGCCCACCTGTCTCAGTTTGACCTGGACTCTTCTGGGTTTAACAAGAAAATTGCTCAGTCTCCAGAAAAATCTGTTTTCACTGATAAGAGTAGATTTTGTGGAAGTGAAAATTAAGTGGGATACGAATGTGGGTACATGGAGATTCATGGTGTAGAAAGAACAGTGGAGGTAGCCAGATGGAAGCCATACTTGCAACCTTGGTTCTTTTGCCATTAGGAATCCAGCTGGAAAACAAATTTCATTCCACACCCCCAAAGCCTTCTGAATGATTCTGAGTGGCCCAAGTCCTCAGCAAGATAACATGCCATTTTGGATATTTGCCCCCAGTTGGTATGCAGACTATTAGAGCAAAGATTGGTGGAAGGAAGGTGTCACTAGGAAGAATATACCTCACGTGACCCCTCAGGGTCTAGAAGACCTCTGGCACCCCCTTAAGCAGCTTCCTAATTCCTTCCTTTCACTGTGGCTGATGGCAGTCACCAGGAGTCCAGGGAGGAGAGGCTCTGCAATGCTGCTTCAAAATTGAGATTTAGGCCCACTATTTGACAACTCACTGGAAGCTACAGGTTCACTTTATACCTGAGGCACAAATAATGACTTGAGGTGCTAATAGTGCAGGACCACAACACATAGTTGATGAAAAATAATAGCTAATGTTTATTACATGCTACTGTTAATTATATGATTTAATTTATTTAATCCTTACCACCATCCCAGAGAGTAGGCACTATGATTGTTTCCACTTATAGAAATAGGCCAAAAAAAGGTTGAAGTGGCTTTTCCAAGATCATCAGTGAGTAAGTGGAAGATCTAGGATTTTTTAATTTTGGGCCATGCTCTTAAAATACAGTATATGCTGCTTTACTAAATGGATAGATGGATGGATGAACATATGGGTAGATAGGTGGACTTTGCCCTAGGGCTGAGATTTTGTATTGCTTCACTATCCTGGAATATTTTAAATGGCATGTGTGTGTTTTAAAGTAGAATTTATGAAAATTGATGCTTTTTATCTAAAACTTCAAAGATTCTGAATATTTTATGTTCAGTGTATAGCCCAGATAGTACATTTAAAAAAAGTCTACACAGGTTTTTATTGGGCATACTTAGACTAGAAGGTATGATTTCAACTTTCATGTTCTTAAAAAAAAAAAAAAAAAAAAGCTGTAACCTAACTCTCTGGTACAGAGATCAGAGATCAAACTGAAGGAAAACAACAGACCAGTCATTTCTTTATATATTTATGTAGGTTTTATATGATTATACTTCTCCCTGAAGTAAAAAGCTCTGTGTATGGTCTTCCCTTAGCTTTCCTAAATTATATAGACATAACCTGTTACATAGGTTTTAACCGTGGATGGAACAAATGTTCTCTGGAACCAGGAAGAATCTCAGAATAAGGACTTGAGGGGAGTGTGGGGAGAAAGAACGACCACGAGGCAGAACCAGAGCAAGGCCTCTCTTTTTGAGACCTTTTCTGAGATCCTTTCTGTCCATATTTAGAAAGGACACAGAATGTTATGTTATGCCCAGAGAACTTAAAGGGTGTTGTGATTTCCCTTCTGCTACTTCTTTTTGCAGATGCAAACAGCAAGGAAATGCAAAGTGTAAACCAAAGTTCTGTGTCTCACTTTATCTTGGTGGGCCTGCACCACCCACCGCAGCTGGGGGTGCCACTCTTCCTAGCTTTCCTTGTCATCTACGTCCTCACTGTCGCTGGCAATGGGCTCATTACACTCACTGTCTTGGTGGACACCCAGCTCCACCGCCCCATGTACTGGTTCCTATGTCACCTCTCCTTCTTGGACATGACCATTTCTTCTGCCATTGTCCCCAAGATGTTAGCTGGCTTTCTCTTGGAGAGCAGGGTTATCTCCTTTGGGGGCTGTGTAATCCAACTTTTTTCTTTCCACTTCCTGGGCTGCACTGAATGTTTCCTTTATACCCTCATGGCTTATGATCGTTTCCTAGCCATTTGTAAGCCTTTACATTATGCCACCATTATGACCCCCAGTCTCTGTAACTACCTGGCTTTGGGTACCTGGCTAGGAGGCACACTCCACTCACTTTTCCAAACAAGCTTCATATTCCGCCTGCCCTTCTGTGGGCCAAACCGCGTGGACTACTTCTTCTGTGACATTCCTGCCATGCTGCGTCTAGCCTGTGCTGACACCACCATCAATGAACTAGTAACCTTTGTGGACATTGGTTTCCTGGCGCTCACCTGCTTTGCACTTATCCTCACTTCCTACGGCTGCATAGTGGCTGCCATCCTGCGAATCCGGTCTGTTGATGGGCGCCGCAATGCCTTCTCCATCTGTGCAGCCCACCTCACTGTTGTCATTGTGTACTATGTGCCCTGCACCTTCATTTACCTTCGCCCTGGCTCCCAGGAAACCCTGGATGGGGTGGTAGCTGTCTTCTACACGGTCATCACTCCCTTGCTCAACCCCATCATCTACACACTCCGCAACAAAGAAATGAAGGCAGCATTGTGGAGGCTGGGAGATTGCAAGGACTTGTAGCCTCACTGACTCCACACACCACACACATACAGTAGACACTGAAATTTAGAACACCTGATGGAACACCAGATAATTGGGAAGATTTAAAACGGAAAGAGAAAGAAGGATTCATGTAGAGAGTAGAGGACTTCTAGGTACAGAGGTGAGAACACTGGAAAGTTCCACATTGTACCTGCTTTCAAAAAAATGATATTCTATATTTCTTTCTTCTATACCAATGGAAATCAAAAAGGATGGCACCTTGCAGAAAAGATCCAACATAAGAAATGTCCACATCAAAGCTCTGTTTCTCTGTGACATCCACCTACATTTCTCTGTGTTGATACCCATATAGCTTTTTACATGTTACTAATAACCTGCATGTAAACACCTGATATGACCTGGACAACAATTACGTGAGATAGGTATTATTATTCCCATGTAACTATGGGGAAACTGAAGTTCAAGAAAATAAGTGGCTTCTCCAAACTCCTTACTCTGCCTTTTACTTTGACAAAAACTGTCGAGGAACTTGAACTTGAGAAGGCAATTTCACCACAATGTGAGGGAGCCATTGCCTGTGCACTGCCTCATGACCTGCGTAGGTCTAGCCTTCTGAGCTTGCAAAGGACTCCACTTTCATAAAATTGATATAGACGTGTCAAGGATAAGCTTCTTTTCTCCACAAACATAGATTAAATCTCCATGATGTTTCCACGGATCTCAATGAAACAGATGATATAGTAGAAGAATGTACGTGCTCTCACATTCTTATATTTTTCCATAACTGTTGAGTATGAAATGTGAAGCAGGATGAGATGGAGCATGTATCTGGATGCAAGAAGAAGATCTGAAACCCATTCTCACTGGTCTTCTTGTGAAAGTCTTTCTTGTGAAAATATGCATGAATGGGCAATACAATTCAACTCAACAAAAATGTATTCAGTATAATTCTAAAATTATGACATCATTGTTTTTTCTAAATGAGTTTATAATCTTACAAATAGAAAATGCATTTACATATGAGGCATAGAGATATGTAACTAGAAAATAAATAAGAAACACTCGATATAACTGAGTGAGTGCACAGTAAGTATTGTAGTAATTCAGGGAAAGGAGAAAGAAAGAGGTCATTAGGTCTGGGATCTGTGAATCTGGCATGCTGAAAAGTATGGAGAATCTATGGTTTGAAGGTCTTGTAAAAATCTAGTCCATCAGGGGAAAGGAGTTGATGGAATTCTTCATGTGATAGAAACAACAGAAGCCCTTAAGGATAGTTCTAGGAGAATACACTTGAGAGGTCTAATTATCTTAGGAGGAGCAGCCCTGGGGCTGGCACAAGGCAGTTACAAACTCTATTTGGCAAACATACAGAACTGCGGTTCCATGAGCATCTAAATATTCCATGTGCAAGAAGAAGCAGAACTCGGTTAATGAGCCCCTTGGGCCAGAACAGAGACAACCTGGAAGTCAGATTCGAGCAAACACCAGGATTGCTGTTCTCATCACGGCCAATGACATATCATGCACACAAATGAAGGGTCACATAAGAACTTAACTTGTTGTTTAACTTTTAAAAGAGAAATATGAAATACATTACATCATTTTAAATTAAGAAACTTATCTCATAGAACCAAGCATAAAGTGTTACTTTTTTATCCACAGTGAAAACAGCAGCAGGGCTGATATGTGAACTTGAACCTTCCACTAGAAAGAACCACATGAAGTAATATTCTTTATGCAGCTTCATCCCTTATGAAGGTTTTTTGTTTCCAAGACTGTTTTGAGGTTATCTAACTTTGAGAATGAGAAAAAATAAAGCAGAAGAGAAAAAGTAGTTAGCCTGAATATTTCTCCAGTTTTGAAAATAGTAACTAAGAACTATACTATTTAGTTTGAATATTAAATATGATTTGGCTTCTTTCTACCCTTCAGCTGCATATTTAAATATTCAAATAGCTTCCTGGCTTCATACTTTAAAACAAACAATTTATCTAGCTAGAATTTCTGAGTAGAAAGAGAAGCAGATTAGAAAATTATATTAACTTTTATCTCCCATATATCTAGCCTATTGTCACATTACTTATTAAATATCTGTGACACATGCACATGCTTGCTATGCTACCTTTTAAATATACTAAATTCTTATATGTACTTAATCTTATTTCAGAATATTATTTACTATATATGTACATATGTATCTATACACATATATACACAATATACAAATTCTATTAGTATATGTTTGTCATTACCAAACTTTTTAGATAGCTGCAGATTTAAAATACTATTAAATACCCAGTAGGGTTACTCTGCCACTCTTTTCTATTCATATCATGTTCAGATTATTTTCAGGTATTTTCTCATATTTATTTGTTAGATTTTAAATATTTTACCAAATGGTAAACAATCAACAAATATGATGACCTCAATTGAGCTCACGTTAAATTTAGAAATTATTTTTAAAATAGTTACCATCCACAGTATATTGAATATTTCTCTCAGAACGAGCTATACCTATTCTATTTTTCAAGTCACCTTGTGCATACCTCATTAAATTGTCCTATTTTTGGTTAATATGCTCTGTATATACAGCTGATGTAAAGGACATAATAGTATATTGATCCAGCATTGGAATGAGCTTTCTTGTGGAACTGGGATTACTCCATCACTGCATTTGTTCAAGCAAAAGGTATATAATATTTTGTCAGGGGAATCATAGAGAATATCAGTGCTTTGGATAATTAGTAAATATTAAGAAATGTAAGGTTATATGCTATGTGTCCTACTCTGTCCTAAGTAAAATAATAGCTATTACAAATTATGATATCCCATCTTAAACTGGATGACCTAGAGAAACAAAGAAATTCAGCACCATAATCCCTCTCTTTCAACTATTAAGTGGTTGACCATAGATTTAAACTTATAAGAATCCAAATAAACTTGGCTCCTTGCTATCTCCGCTGCTCTAGCCCAAAAATATTGATAGAAAACCAGAGAAAGCATCTGACATTTTCCCTGTGTTCCTCAGAGGAAGACATGGCATATGCACATGGAACACCAAAGTCATCCAAGATAGTGCGTGCTTAAGCATTTATTAATAATTATAATAAGTACCATAGGTTTCAGGAAAGAATAAATCAATGTGAGATAAAACGCTTATACAGGGTTTGTAGAGGAATTAATGTTCAAACTTAACAATAGAGAACAGATGTATGAGGCAGAGATAAATAAATCTATTCCTGTGGAAAAAAGGAATGCTGTGATGAGATCAGGAGAGACTGTGGCAAACATCATCCTGAGATAGGAGTTTCTTCAGAGAGATAACGCTCTTGTGATAATAATGGAAACAGTTTATAGATAATTTTGAATATCAGACAGGGATACAATTTATGCCATAGGCAGGCAGGAACAGTAAAAGGGAGAGATAAATTAAACATGTTGTTTTAAGAAGACTGACAAAGAGGCTAAATACAGAATCATTGGATATGTTAGAGAAGTTCATGGGTGATGGGACATAAAACACTACTGTGAAAATATAGGTATAAAATATGCAGAGGCAAAGTTAAGTAAAACCCATGGGAATCAAAGATAAAACAAAAATAAGCAGTTTAAAAAATTGCTTTATACAACATCTAATTAGGTTTAAAACTCTTAAATATCAATCCAGCTGGATAATAAAGGCATAGGAAAATATTTCCCAAAAGGTTGAAATAAAGCTTTTCAGGAAGAGTATGAAATGTACTGAATAATTTGTCCTGATAACTATCAGTCAATTCTCTAAGGCCTCATTGTCTGAGAGTTAGTTGTGGGTAGCTGAAATCCAAAGAACTCCCTCTGGGTGAAGCGTAGATAGGGCTGCTGGGCTCCTGGCTGATGTAATAGCACCTAAACACTGGGCAATTCCCCCCAGATGATGGGATGCAACTCCTGAGGACACGTGGCAGTGGAACCTACTTATTTACAGAGTGAATTAAGAGAGAAGAGGCAAACAGTTCTGGAATATTTGCAAAATAGATATGCCCCATGAGAGTAGGATTTAAGCCATACTTGTATTGCCATCGTTTAGGAATTACATTTCTCCAAATAATCTTTACAGTCTTTTATGTGCCTCAAAAAGACTGTGGATCCCACAATGAAAGATCCATTTTTGAAAGAACAGCAAGAAAACACTAGAACAGGCCAAAAGAGTGAACTGAACCTACACACCTTTCATTTATGGGCAAGACCGAGATGGCATCACCTAGTGGCTAGTGACAGTCAGGAAATGGGAAGGGCTCTTTTATGTCTGTTGATGTCAGTTTTTGCCAAGAGGATAACTCACCCCTCTGTGTGTGATGGTCATGGAGACAGAAGACCCCGACCAAACTCTGGTAAGCCACTTCTTCTTGGAGGCTCTGATGCACACAGGTGAACAATCTAGTGTCTTCTTCCTCCTTTCCCTCCTCAGCTATAGCATCACCTTGACTGGGGATCTTCTCATCCTCATAACCATGGGCTCTGACCCTCCCCTCTCCTCTCCTGTGTACCACTTCCTGGGGCACCTCTCCTTCTTGGATGCATGTGTCTACAGTGACAATGCCAAGGTCACGGCAGGCCTCCTGACTCTGGATGGGAAGGTGATTTCCTTTGAGGACTGCGCTGCGCCAGCTTTACTGCTTCCACGTCCCAGCCAGCACTGAGTGCTTCCTGCACACAGTCACGGCCTATGGCCGCTACCTAGCCGCCTGTCAGCCCTGCACCGCCCAGCTGCGATGAACAGGCGGATGTGTGCCGCCCGGCTGGGATCACTTGGGCCACAGGTGCTGTGTGCTCTGCAGCCCATTACCTTCCTCACCTTCCACTTGCTCTACTGTGGGCCACACCACATGGTGCACTTCTGTGACACCCCCTCTGCTGCAGCTGGCCTGCGCAGACACAGCCGTTAACGAGCTTGCCCTGCTTGCCAGCACCCCACCTGATCCTCATCGTCTTACCTTACGTCTTCATCTTGGTGGCTGTTGCGGATTCGCACAGCTCGA